ATCGAGCTATGTTAAGAAATGTAAATATAATGCAATATTTGGTCCTGGGAATGGTTGACACTAGAATCAAAATTTAAGATTGAAGAGTTAATCAAACTTTGGAATTAGATATATGGTTTGAAATGATTAATCTTAACCCAATCCAAATAAACACACCAAGCTACACACAGAAATATAGCTACGACGCAATATTTTGACTAGCAAATAGTAAAAATTTGGTTTTAAGAATAAAAGTTTCTCTTAGGCTAAATTCAATTTAGGGAAGGTTGAAAATTTTATATGTTGATCACTTTCACTCAGGGCTGAATTGAATGAAATAATCAACAAAATGAAAGGTTTTTTAAGCATTTATGCTCTTCGAAAATTCTATTTTAGACAACTCAAAACTAGTTATATGATCATGAACCTACTCTTTCAATAGTGATTTAGGCTTCTTCGTCTGGGACGGTTTTTTTTACTTCTTCTTAACCCGACTTTCTTGCATAAAAATTTTAGTTTTTTTACTAAAAAGTCATTTTAAGAAGTAGTAAAAAAATCGTCCCAAACAAAACCTTAAACTATCTCTTCCTCTCAGACAACGAAGGGACAACGTGTTTTTTATAAAATCCAAAGTGATGTTTAGATTATTTGCAAAGCTAAATATCAACTTTCCTGTCATTTCTATAATTGAACCATAATTCTATACAAGTTTATAAGCTCACTTTCTTTAGACAAGCTAGATATTTAGGTACAGAAAAATATTGAATTGAATTTACTGAATCCTCAAAAAAAGTTTAATGGAATGAAACTGGAATTTAGATTTAGCATTGAAATGATTTAAATATGGATGCAGTCCATGTAACCACATCGAGCTATGTTAAGAAATGTAAATATAATGCAATATTTGGTCCTGGGAATGGTTGACACTAGAATCAAAATTTAAGATTGAAGAGTTAATCAAACTTTGGAATTAGATATATGGTTTGAAATGATTAATCTTAACCCAATCCAAATAAACACACCAAGCTACACACAGAAATATAGCTACGACGCAATATTTTGACTAGCAAATAGTAAAAATTTGGTTTTAAGAATAAAAGTTTCTCTTAGGCTAAATTCAATTTAGGGAAGGTTGAAAATTTTATATGTTGATCACTTTCACTCAGGGCTGAATTGAATGAAATAATCAACAAAATGAAAGGTTTTTTAAGCATTTATGCTCTTCGAAAATTCTATTTTAGACAACTCAAAACTAGTTATATGATCATGAACCTACTCTTTCAATAGTGATTTAGGCTTCTTCGTCTGGGACGGTTTTTTTTACTTCTTCTTAACCCGACTTTCTTGCATAAAAATTTTAGTTTTTTTACTAAAAAGTCATTTTAAGAAGTAGTAAAAAAATCGTCCCAAACAAAACCTTAAACTATCTCTTCCTCTCAGACAACGAAGGGACAACGTGTTTTTTATAAAATCCAAAGTGGTGGAGTGCTTGAAATTCTAACAAAGCTTTGCTCTGCATCAACGGTAGACAATAGATGGAAACAAATTCTACCTAGCAGTGGTGAGGTGACAAAAAAAATTTTTAATCTCCACTGCAATAGAAGATAACCCTACCTCAAAATTTTGTAATATGAACACCTCATTCTAAGGTTAGGATTTTAATAATTTATCTCATGATTGAGTTTAAGTAAAAGTTTATAATTTATTAGTTTATTAGGATAATCATGCCAAGAGAAAGTGCAGGAAGTATGTGCAAATATGGACTTACATTTGCTAAGAGTGGATAGCTAGCTATCCCCCTAAGCGTTTTTTCATAAAATCATAATTTTTCATGTCTAACGTATGGGACATAGATATTGTTGAACTTGGAATCAAGGATTTAAGTACAGATTTTAAGTCAGGAAATTTAAGATATTTGGGTTTTAAATTCGCCTAACTAATGCAATTTGAAATAATATTCCCCTAGACTATAAATCTTTTAAAATTTAACTATTGTACTCTAAAAGACTGATTTTCTAAGAAAAATATGGCAGCACAATGGCCTTATACCACTAAGGAATAGTAGACTCGGTGCCATTGCTTAGGTTGTCACAAGCTTGCCATCGAATTAAGTGTATTAATTTGTGTATGTTATAGAAAAGTAAATATTAATGTCATGTATGCAATTTAGGGTAAAAGAGTTGTGGTGTAAAAGTATAAAAATCATAACATCCTAAGAGCCTAACATGGATGTCCTAGCAAAAGTACAAGCAACGCAAAGAAACCTAGAAAAATCATGAAGTTTATAATCATATTAATTAATAATATGTGAATGTATAAAAGTGTAAGAATGAATATATAAGTATAAAAATCAAAATAAAACTTAAACTAGGGTCTATACAATGATGCAAGTCTTTTACAAATATAAATTTCTTATTTAATATCTTCATGTGAACTATCTTTTCGCTCTATGTATGTACATGATATAGAAATCCAACCCAAATAAACTTTAATGGAAGAAGAATATTCTTTTGGACTTCAATACCATAGTAATTTGCATTTAGGCTTTCACAACTCGTGACACTTTTAGAACTTTATTAAAATTTATATTTGTGTTAACAAAAGAAAATGACACTACGACTATAAGGGTCAATATGAAAAAATAATGTGCAGTGTGTATATATAATCATCTATATGAAATCATTGAATGGAATTAAAAAAAAAAAAATTACAATATCACACATCCATCAAAGATCCTCATAAGGATAGCTAACACAAGATGAACGTCCTCTTTGCATATAAAATGTTTATGGATAGATTCTGAAAAATTATGAGTTATAAGGACTTAACATGAATCTACTAGAAGAAATAAGGAATAATTTTTCAAAAAAGGATTAGGAAGAAAAGTTTAATATAACCTAGCTAGCTTCATCATAAACCTGAATAATAATCAATAGAGAGAGACTACCGAAAAATAAGGCTATTGCAGCACAAAATTAGTCCTTTTTCGGAGGTTTTGCTCACCACAAATTTCCTTGAAACTATTGCACGCTCGCTGTAATTGCAATGCACTACAACGACATTCAACGGCTGTTTTATTACCGTTGGGGATGGCACAACTTGTAGCAGCAGTTTTAACAACCAAAACTTTATAAAATTATAGCGGTTAAGAGTCGGTGGGGGGGGGGGGGGCATGGGGTGTGGGGAGGGGGGGGGGGGGGGGGGGCACCAGTGCAAAAAGAAGATTTTGGAAGCAGTTTCCAAACTGCTTCTAATTAACAACCAATGCGAAAAATCGTATTTTTGGGTGGAGAGAGAGAACTTTATTTATAGAATCTCTGTGCATTAAATCATCATAAGATTTATCACCAACGGATTTCCAATAATTTATTCCTTTACAATCTTTCCTGATGAGAGGACTGCTTGAATGGAAGTTTTGAAGTATTTTTTATGCAATTTGATTCTGTCACTCAATCTATGAAATCTTGAGCATGTAAATTCTCTCATTATTTTATATACGATTGAATATCTCCTTAAAACAAGATATATCTCATTATTATTTTTAAGGAGGTTTTTTAGGGCTAGGATAATCTAATTACCATGCATATACGATTCTTTCCACAACATTCTATGTATGTGATTCATCTCATTACTTTATATCATTCTTTCATAGAATTATATTGATCTAATTTTTCTCATTATCTTATCATTTCTTAACGTCTTATAAATATTAGAATTTTCATTATCATGTTATAATATTTCATACTTTAGAGCTCATTATTTTTTCAAACTCTTTTCATTGAATATCTACGGATCCCCTCTCTCATGTCATACATACTAAAAACCAAGGCTCGCTAACTCTTCTCATTTATAAGTTTGTTTCAATACACTAAAGCCATCACTTAATATCTGACAGAAGCATTGGATTTACTTTAAACATTACAAACTCTTCTAAGAATCTCTTGAGGTTCGTAGAAGTTCTTCACGAGAATATTTAATCTTCTCATGCATGGACTTCTCTCTATGAAGATTTCTTTGATCTTTAGAAGTCTTTAATTTATCCTCTAATATTATTACCTGATCTTAAGACGAATTCGCCTCCTTCTTCACGGATTCCATAATTGCATGAAGTTTTGTATTCATCCTATGATAGATAAGAATAAATATTTGCTTGTTATGAAGCTCTCTCTATAGTTCATCCCTAGATTACGTTAAACAAAAAATCAGTCTTTCATTTTTTAAATTGTCTTTTATCTTGAACTAGATCGTTGAACATTACTCCTTGCTAATAACCAATGTTCCACATATATATGTCAAATACTAAAATTTGAAATTCATCTTCATGATCTTCCGCACTTCCATCTTATTATAATAAAGAAAGCTAATCTGACCAACCACTCTCACTTGACATCCAACATTCCCATTGATGCTTATCTAAATCCTATCTATGATTGATTTCAAACATTCATTAACTACCTACAACTGATGCCCATTTTATGGATCACTGGAGCTCCTCTACCATATAAAAATGACCAAGTAAACCACTCATAATGAGAAGGCATTTAACATTCATCAACCATTAACATTCGAGAACCATTGATGCGGTGCATCTTAAGCTAAGAGGGTTCCTTAGGAGCACTTTACCTAGTTTGTTGTCATTTCTTTCTAGAATGCTCTTTTAGTCTTATAAATAGGAGGTCTTGTAGAAGAAAAGATCATTGAATGATAAAAACACTCTTTTGAAGCTTTGAGAAAGCTCTCTTCTTCTTTCCTGGATTGGAAATCCTAAAATCCTTCTTGCAGGTATCATCTTCCGACGATCCACTACATCAACCATCGTATCTTATATAGCATTAACGAGTTAACTTGTTATAGATTGATGGTCTTTAATACTAATTGACTCACATTAGTGGAATTGTATCTGCTAGTCAAGTCCTCATGATATTTTCTCAGCTTATCTATATCGGAGAGGATTTCATACAAATTTAAAAGAATAAACTCCATCACCGCTAATTATATTTCGGGTATGGAACAAGTTAATTGAGAACTTTTCAATAGCACTATAAACACTGTATTTCAGCTCTTCGATCCTCTCCACATACGTACTGGAAATATGAAACAAAACAAAACAAAAAAACATGAAGGATCAGCATTAAACATGAAACTGAATCAAAATATCTCAGAGGTTTAAACTCTCAGCATTCTAAAGAAATTTGAATGAATTTTTTATGCTATCTCTATATTCTTCTCATTCTCATCATGTTCTTCGATGGGATTCCGTTCATAGTAAAATGCATATATCGATAGCTGGAAGAGCCCCAAGATTGCTCCCAAACCGTTTGGTATCTGCTGGCCAATTGGACATTAATTACATTCATGATGAAGCTGAGAAAATCAAGAGAGAAAGGTGTTGGGAAATGGAGAGCTTAGATTACCAATACGAATATGTCAAATTTGATGAGTGCATATGACGTCCAGCATACGCCATCGAGAAAGCCAGCGAAAGAAAGCCAAAATGGCATGTATTTTACGCTCCTCGTGTTCATCACAAGCATCTACTATCAAAGTAATTCCACCGCACATAATGTTTAGCACAAGAAAAATAATAACAATAAAGTATATTATAATTAAGGGTTTTGAACGTATATTATATTAAAATATAAAATTAATATTTTTTTAATGAAATCACCAGCTGTATTTAAATAAAATATTTAGATAATGTTGAACTAGTTAATATAAATGCAAATTTTAAAAGTTGAGGATTTCATTAATAAACGCATTTTGTTTTATGCTATATCATGTTAACTAACTTTTTCTATAAATGTTAAATTAAAATCATTTACATTTTTAATGTGCTGATTGATAGTTTATGTACAGATTATTTTTGTTTCAGCTAAAGCCTGAAACATTTACAAAGTTAGATATTTAAATATGTATTTTCCTTAATTTTATTGCCTTTCTCTTCTTCATCATAAACAATTATATATATGATTAGGCCATCTCCAACCAAAAAATTCATTTTTCACTCCAAAAACCAATAACTCTGTCTCCAATCGAACTCCATTTTCTAACACCTAAAAAAGAATATTTTGTGTATATTTTTTTATCATGTTTTATTGTATATATTTTTTTGATCATATATTTATATTTATCAATATTTTGAATTAGACCTACTTATAATTTTTGCTCAATAATTTAATTTCAAATATAAATAAGTCCTAAATAAACAAACATTTATTAAATAAAATGAAAATTATATTAGAACACAAAAAGAATGAAAAAAACACACAGGAAAATAAACATTAGAATTAGTATACTGATCCCACAAATATTCAATCAATGCATTTCGCAATGCAATGTGAGAATATTTATCCCTGATTTGTTTATGATGAGTGATGAATTTTAAAATCGAGTATTTTCATCAACGACAATTTTGACCTCCAGGGGTGGCACATCTCTCGCAACTTAAACAATTCTTCTGAGTTCGTGTTCATCTTCGATTATTATGTTATGAAAAATTATGCATGTAGTTATTATATCATGTAGCACTTCTTTGCTCCAAAAATATAATGATCCTAACACAGTTGCAAAACAAGATTGGAGAGCTCCAAAAGCACATTCTACATCTTTTCTACATGATTCTTGTTTCTTTACAAAATATCATTGCTTTGGAGTACGTGTTTCTTGAATAGTTTGCACAATGGTTGATCATTTTGGATATATATTATCAGTCAAATCATAACTCATGTTATATTTTTTTCCTTTAATAATGTACGTAACAACATGGAGGAGCTATACCTTGAGTGAGATTGTATAATAGGTGAGAGACTTCAACATGTTTATATCATTGTTGGTGCATGGTATACCGAAGTAAGAATGTCATATCCAAATATCATAGTCTGCTACAGCTTCAAGAATAATTGTAGGTAATACAATAGGTCCCATATATTACCTAGCCAACACGATAGGACAATTTTTTCACTTCTAGTGCATACAATCTAAATCACCCAACATTCCTAGAAAACAACGTTGTTCATTAATGTGGAGAAGTCTATATCATTGATTGTTATTGATCTTAAATATTGCTCTGAAATAATATGAAAACAGGAGAGACCAGGGTGTGAATTTTCGGAGCCCATACCACCAATGTTTTAAAAAACAAATCTATTTAACCAGCTGAACCTATCTATTGGTTTGTTTAATAAATTCTCAAAATTAAGTTCACAACAAAGAACTTGACCATGTCAAACATGCGTTTCGACAAATTAACAAACAAGTTAGTGCCAATTTTAAAAATTTGGCATGCTTATTTTCTTAAATAATTTACATAATTAAAATAATTAATAAATAAATTAAAAAAATTAATTTATGATTTTAATTTAAATTTAATCTATTTTAATTTTAACATAAGATTTAAAATTTTATAATAATTATTTGTCAAATAAGCCTTGACCAAGCTACTTCACATGACCCTATCATGTTGGATTCCACGAGTCTAATGTATATTAGGGTTTTAATGATCACAAATATTATTAATTACTTTTTATGTTAATATTATAGATAAAAAAAGAATAGGAGAACATAGATTAAATTTAAATTTGAAATAGTTATTAGTTAACAATATTGATTTATTTTTATATATTTAAAATTTCTTTATTTAATTACATAATATACAAATTAAATTTTATCAATTTTTTAATTATAAATGATCGAATATGAATTTATGGATGTAATTTTATAATATAATTTTATATTTAATTTATAGCATAAATTATAACTAAATATATAACATAAAATAATAATTATTCATTTCAATATGTAACATATATGTAAACTAATTTTATACTAAATATAAATTATATTTAAAGATTGATATGTCTAAATTTAAAATTATAGAATATATTATTTGTGTATGAATTTCATTTAATTTTTAGTCATAAATTTAAGCATAATTACTATATCATCGTTATGTAATTTAGAAATTAGTTAAAAAAATGTAATATTTAATTTAGCATGGCAACCAATTCAACCCCAATTAAATCATAAAACAGTAAACTCTACTTCTTCTAATTCTATGTTCAGTCTAATTTTCACAAACTTTATTATCACTACCTTATCCCAAGAAGACCTTCAATCATAAACTTCTCCTAGCTAGTTTCTCACAGTACTTTCATAAGTTCTTGTAGATTTCTTGCCTAAGAAAACCATCTTTTAAGCGATTTATTTTAAGACTTAACTACCTGTAACTACTTCATCTAAAATGTATGCTCTCAATAACTTTTTTAAAGTATTCATCACTCAATTAATTTTATTGAGATTTCAACCACTGTCTAAAAATACTATTCCTAAGCGTCTAAAGTAAAATCCTGAAAAATATATATCCACTTAAGCCTTTTTGCTTTGGATAATATATAGGAGGAATTATTCCGTGTGGAGTACGAATGAGAAAAAACCGTCAGGACTATGAACATACACATTGTGTACAAACAATATATGTACACAAATTGAACCAAGCTTTAACGTCCGGACTTATAAGAATGCATCTAATGCCAAATTCCCAAGCTTTATCTAGTGAAGGTTTAATGTTTAAGTAGATAGATTCATGAGATTAAGATGTACGTAGAGGTAATTGACTTCGTAAGCTTTTATTTGCTAGCAATTAGTGTGTACTTATTTGGATGGTGATTAGGACTTCATTATTAATTAATCAATTATAGCAGAAGAAATATTCTATGCTAAAACATATAGAATTATAAAAAAAAGAAAAGAAGAAAGAATTTCATACCATGACGGAGAGTGGTGAGGCATACATGCAGACACAGAAGATGATAGAGAGAATTCCTACAATAAGAGACCTCACATCGTGCGTGTGTACCACTGTTAGCACCAAAGTCACCACCATTGCCATTAAAACCACCTCCCCTGCCAATATCGCCAACAACTTCACCTGCGAAGAAGCTCAATGCCTTTAATAGTACTCCGATCCGCCCAACAATATTTACAGAAAATCTAAAATATTACTTTGAAGATATCGATCTAACCCTCGTTTCCTTTGGCGAATAGAAGAAGAAAATTGTGAGGTAGATAATAACAACAAAAACGCCGACGCCATTGATGGTGGAGATGAGGATTGTGTCGGGCTGGACAACGGGTAGTCCATAGAAGACCCACAACATGCAATTTGCCAGTGCTGCCAGGTAAGGGATCGAAGAGAACTGCTCCACCGACTTCTTCCTACATATTTCCACGAATGTTGGAACTGGCGAGAGGAATAGCCCGAAGCAAATCACGTTCCCTGCTTATTCGAATTCCCAATTTCCAAATTATTATATTTGTAATATGAAAGCAGAATAGATTGGATAAGGACTGAATAAGGCAATGTTGTGTTTTGTAAGATGAAAGAGGGCATTTTCTTTTGAGAAAAAAAGGTGTTTTTGATGAAAAAATGAGTAAACTCAAGCTTCTTATCGAGCTTGAGCATTTGAGTTGAACTCAAGCTCATATTTTTTCACACTACCTGAGCTAGAGGTTAGCAAATGAGCTCTAATTCATCCTAACGAGGGCTGTTTGGTAGCAGGATTTAGGCTGGATTTGAGGCGAATTTGAGTGAAATCCAGTCAAACGGCCTAAAATGCAAAACCAAATCTTACGGCAAATGAAATCCGTTGTAGACGGAATATTCTGCCGATTCGTTCTAAATCCCGGATTTCTGAGATCCTGTATTTTGCCGAATATACGGAATCCATGGCGCTAGAGGAAGAGTCCGCTGGGTAAATCTTGCTTGATAGCCAAACAGTGACATGAGGTTTAAGAGGATTTATCATGAATGTTACTAAACAGTTTTTAGGATTTAAGCCCCTTAGGATTTCAGAATTCCGGATTTAGAGGATTTATGAAATCCTACTTAAATCAAATCCATGATGCTACCAAATAGCCGCTAAATATAGATTTAACAAGATTGACTCAATTAAGTAAGAACTCGACTCATTCTACACCCCGTTCTAAAGCAAATTTACATTAAATAGGATCAAAATATGTAAATTTTTATGTTATTTTCTTTTGAAGAACAAGAGAATCTTTATTTTCCTTATAAAAAATTAATAATAAAAAAAAAAACTTTGAATGCCGTAAATTTTTATGAAATATTGACATATTTCAATTATGTGCACATCTAGCATTTAAAAGACAAAAATTAACGTGCATTAACAATGATTTTAGGAGAAATATACCAATGATCCCAACAATAGTGCGAGTAGTGTCGGCGCTCAACATCGATTTTTCCCGGCCAATGAGCTAAGGCAGCCGAAGAGGACAGAACGAAAAGGGAGGAGTGGAGGAGATAATAGTCAAGGGGGTTTTATATAGAGGTAAACGTATATATATTTCTCATCTTTCTTCTCCTCCACTGTGGAGGCTCTTTGCATTTTACGCATTCTTCCCTCCTAACATAGTTTATGACGAACATAAATTTTAAAATAAAATCATTAATTGGAATAAATCTTCCGCATGCCAATTTAGGTAAATTTTCAAATTCCTTAAACAATTAAATTAATATTTTTAGCACGGAGTTTGACGAAGCCACTCGGTAGGCTGTTGGAACAAGCATTAACAATTTATTTAAAAATGCTTCTTGTCATCTATATTAGCTATAAAATAACCGTCTAGATTGGATTTGAATTTGTAATAATAAGAAACCATTACAGTAATTGACACCGGCCAGGTAGGGGGCTCAACGAATCCACGTCGACAATCCTGTGACGGTCGCCGGATAACTCCAAGAACTTCTCGGAGGAGAGGGATCACCACCTGAAATCCTTCAGGATACAAAAACCCAAAACAAGAGTAAAACTACTCAATTCTTATTCATCTCAAAATCTATCTTTATTACAAGACATTAGCCTATATTTATAGACTTCAGATAGTCACATAAGAGGCTACACAAGAAATAGAGCTACACCAATCACTAACAAGAAAATACAATTTTATTATATGGACGCTCCTGCGTCATTCTACCGGGTTAGGAGGGAACTTTGAGCTCGTAGAAAGAGATCCAGTTGGCCACCATAAGGTGGGTTTGGTTGGCTAAATCGGTATGGATATTTCCACCCGGTGTCAAGTTTCCTACCAATCTTCAATTTCTTAAAGGTAGCATAATCAAATGAAATACCCTTGCTTTGTATTCCAATTCTTGCACCTCTTGCCGCCCCAAGACCAACAACTGCCAAAACAATACAAATCACATTTTCCTTGCATTCTCCTGTGAAGATAGGAAGAACATGGTCTCCTTCCTTGAGTTCAATAACACCACATCCATCATGAACACTTTCAAATGCAGAAATCATGGTATCAACATTTCCAATGCGTTTGACACTTCGGTCGACTCCACCATTATTCTTTTCAGGAATAACCTCTTGAATTGGCTTCCTCTTTTCATCTTTATCATCTATGGGTTGCTCCAGATCAAGAACTCCATCGAACATGTCATCATCATACATGTCATACACAGGCTCATCGTAGAGAGGTAAAGACGACAATTTCGACAACGGATCTTTAAATTCTTTGAAGCTGAACACGATCGAGGGTGGAGTGGAAGAGAGCTGATCATCTGAAATGCCCTCGTCATCATCATCCGTTCGTAATGATTTAGTTGGAACGAAGGATTTTGAATATGTCGTGGCAGCATACTTGTCCCAGGCACCATTAAAGTCGAGGCCAAGGGAGCTCAAGTTTTCCTTTCGTTCAATCCTTGACAGTCGTAGTTTGAGTCGTGCCACTTCTTGTAGAAGATCTTCGATTTCTTCTTCTTGACATGGTGGATGTCGAGTCCGACGAGACCACATCTTGCTCTATTGTGCAAATCCACAAGGTTATGAAAAGGGTGAACATACAAAAACAAATCTTAATTTTCAGAAAATATGCCTGGCAATCACGTCATCGTCTAATAGGCTGAAAAGTTTTTCTCTGGTGGTCCCTTCTAATCTCAAACGCACTCCGCCAAGAATTACTACTCACGGGCGGTCCTCTCTAGGCAACTGAAAATCCACCGATCACTTCAAGAAACAATTCTTGAAGTCTGCCTAGGAGAAGATTGGCCACCACTTGCATCTGTTGGTCACAGATAGGCCACCATGAATTTTTGGCCTCTTTGTCAAAGGATCTGGTACAAAACAACATAGAAACAAATCTTGGCTGTTTTGCTAAGGAAGCCTGAGTGGATTTCTGCAAGATGGCGGGTTTCTTGGACGAAAGTGCTATGGAGAAAGAACTGTGAAGGGAATCAAGCCCAAGTCTACAACTCTCTTCTTTAGTTAAAAGAATGAATATAAAGAAGTCTCTTGCAACAACAAGGTATGTGAAAGAAGGCTCCAAAAGCAAAGTCGGTGAAGAAGACAACACCCTTCTTGGCTACCGGACCACGCTTCTGGACTGAGGTTCAACCTCTTGGCGTGACGATCCTCTCGGAATGAACCACCCAGACGTGATCTTCAAGGAAGAGTAACTCTGACTGCTAACTACCTGAATGCGAGTGCGAGTGGAGATCGTTGTTTGGAGCGTGAGGGGGATGGGCTACAAGCAAATGACTCAGACCACAGAGGTGACGCAACGATGGAAATGAACGCCAGCAACTTGCCGGCTCTGCTACCAAATGACAACGGCCAGGTAGGGGGCTCGACGAATCCACATCGACAATCCGGTGACGGTCGCCGGATAACTCCAAGAACTTTTCGGAGGAGAGGGATCACCACCTGAAATCCTTCAGGATACAAAAACCCAAAACAAGAGTAAAACTACTCAATTCTTATTCATCTCAAAATCTATCCTTATTACAAGACATTAGCCTATATTTATAGACTTCAGGTACAAAGAGAGTATACAAACATATGAAAGAGAGGGTGTATCCTTCATAAGAGACACCAATATTTTTATGTGGAAAATCCTGAAAAGAGAAAAAAATTATTGGGCTTTGCCCAATTTGAATGAATCCACTAGTATTTGCAGTCGATTACACATAATACTCTTCTTTGAGGGAAGGTCTTGGCATGATGTAATAAATATACATAATATGGAGTGCATTAAAAGATTGGAATTGAAATAAATATTGTTGTCATGTTTATTTGGTAGACATGACCATAGTCGGCGGGCGACGGAGGTCAAAAAGATCATAGTCTGGTGCTGGTGGTTTGAGGGACCATAGTCGACGGGCACCAGTAGTTAAAAAGACAGTTGTCTGACGATGGAGGTTAGAAAGACCGTAGTCGGGAGGCGATAGTGGTCAGAAAGACAGTTCTTTGACGATGAAGGTCTGAAGGATTGTAGTCAGCTGGCGAAGGAGGTCGTAAGTCCGGCGATGGACGGAAGTCCGGTGTTGGGAAAAATTCTGAAGATCGAAAGAAGTTCGGCATCAGATAGAATTCTGGTGATGGGCGGAAGTTCGGTAACGGGCGGAATATCGATGACGGACGAAAGTTCAGTGATGAGCGGAAGTCCAGCAACGGACAAAATTCCGACGTCAGGCGAAAGTCTGATGAAAGTCAGTGTCCGGGAACAAATTCAACGTCAGTTGGCGGCCAGGAAAATTTGACATCAATAGGTGGCCGGGTGAAAGTTTAGCATCGGTCGGTTGTCGGGTTGAAGTCCAGCTCTAATTGGTGGCAGGGCAGAAGATCGAAATCAATTGGTGGTCGAGAAGAAGTCAGACTTTAGTTGGCAGCCAGGTGTAAATCCGGTGTCAATTGGTGGCCAGAAGAAATTCTGGCATCAATTGGTGACCAGGCAGAAGTACTGCATCAGTTGGTTGATGGAAAGAAGTCTGGCATCAGTTGGCAACCAGGTGTAAATTCATCATCAATCAGTGGTTGGCCTAACGTCCGGTGTCAGCCAGTGGCCAAGCAGAAATCTGTCGTTAGTTGGTGGTTGGACAAAAGTTTGAAGATAGTAGGTGGCTGGATTGAAGTCTGGCGGTGGTCGAGGAAAAGTCTGGTGGCAAGAGAACTCTTCATTCTCTTCTTTTTGTTCTTGCTTTGGGTCCCCTTTCATGAGAAATGAGGGATCTATTAATAGATCTCTTAGAGTGGCATGACACATAAATAGGAGAAAGATAAAGGGTAAATTGAGAATGGTTTAGATGGACAGCTGATGTTCTTCCAAATGTGTTTTGGGTCTTTGATTTAGACTCATTTGGGCTCAGATTGAGTCGAATTTGATGTTGTTGGGTTCGTATTTCCAAGACGTTCAGTTCGACTGTAAGGTTACTAAAATCAAAGTTCAGATGGTCCTGGATTTAATTTTTGAAATTTCCAACTTGATTTTGCCTCGAGATTCGTACTTTATCAAAAAAAAATTTTATGATATACCACTTGTATTTCATTATAATTTAAGAAATAAAAAAAATTACAAACTCTGCATTTTGCTTTATATTTTTTGATAATGTTGCATAATAACTTCATTCAAACAAGGGCATATATTTCCTTCTCAATATATGACACTAGACAATTATTGAGTTAGACATCACCCATTTTGCTACGCAGCCGATGATTAATAATCTTCATTGCATAAAATGATCTCATCCTCATAGCAATAGCAACTGGTAAAGTCAATGTCAAAACAAAAATTCAATAAATCATGTGATACACAATATTTTTTTAGGGCCCACCTTGAATTGAGCGGGGATCCGCCAAAGGTTTGTTTATTTTGTGCGATGTAACATTAAAAAGCAAATTAAAAATAAAATTATACCAATCATAGGTTTATAAAGTGTAAGCAAGAATAAAGCAGTGAACCACATGGACTCATGGTAGTTACTCTCTTGCTCTTGAGCTTACATACAATTATCAGTTATATGCTACGAGCGTATCACTTTGCATACTATAACTTACGAATATATAATGAAATAAATATAATATTAAAGAATCATGTACACATTATTCCCTACCAAGCTATGAAAAGAGACATGAATGAATCATGCATGTTAGTATAGACATTTAGGGAATATATATTAAAACAGAGAAAATAAATGGATTTTTATCTAGAATCATGAAAATAAACTTATACTGGGCATAAGAGATGAATGCAAGTTTCCAAATCAAGATTAAAGATTTTCTGCTTTGATTTTCTACTTCGAATTTCAGATGAATTTAAAATTTTCATTAATATAATGATGGCTCTCAACCATCCAAATTTCTCTTCTCCTCCAAACCCTCTTTTGATGTCTACCCTTTCTCCTTTCTCAAAAATACAAAAGAAAAATGTTTAACTATAATCTAACACATTTA